AGTCATCAATGGCATTACCCCCACACCAAAATTTCAATTCATTTGAATAATGTGTGGCTGTACTACCCATGTTGATATGTTTTCCCATGTCGCACCTTGAAGAAAGATTCAAACACAGTAACGGAACAGTAAATCTTACCATATCAAATATGAAGTACGGTTTTAAAGCAGCTTCTAACGCTGGTGGCAGTTCTGGTGGCAATGTTAACACTGTTTGAGTGGAAACTGCAAAATATTAAACACAAAAACCTTGTTACAGTAAACTGAAGAAAGAAAAACACAATTTTGGTCGTAAGGCCCGATAATAAGAGATCATTTAGAAGACAGTTGTAGTTGGCAGGATAACATTAAAATGGATCTTTGGGAGGTTGGAAGATGTGGGCTGGATTCATCTGGATCAGGAAAGGGACTGGTGGTGGACTCTCGTGAACATTGTAACAAAACTTTTGGTTCAATAAAAGGAATGAAATTTTTTGAGTAGTTGTGCATACTATCAGCTTCTCAATAAGAATTTTGTTCCACATAGTTAAAGTCATGTAAATGTTGAACAGATGATTCTAGTTTACGTTGCAAAGACAAGATGAACAATTATTTTTACACTCATGAATTTCATTAATAATACATGTTGTGCCACTTATTTGACAAAAATGTCCTGACATTTGTAGAAAAAAAAATCAGAGATTGTTTTTATTGCCTTTCATTAGAACTAAATTTCATTATTACAAATATAATTTGTCATTTCACAAAATTTTGTAAAACTGAGATTTTACTGTAGTAAGATTTCACTATAAATACATTATAAAGAATAATGAACTTCTATGAGGCATATACATAATGAAATATTTTTCAGCTTGTGGAATAAGATACATTACTTGCCATGGTATAAGTGGAAGACACATATTTGTTCAGGCCACCTAATGATTAAATGAAAAACCACATTACTTTCAGCAATAATTTGATCAACCTTCTTTCTTTGTTGACACATTGCAGCTGAAGTTTCCAGATATATCTTCCTCTCCATCACCTTCACTACGATTTAAAGAGGTCTGTTTATCTGCACTGGAATTGTCATTTATTTCCACAAACAGTGAAGACGTCTTAGGTGGTACCTGTGGGCCCCAAGGACTACAGACAATGTGATGGTTGCAGAAATAACTGAAAAGAAAAATTATAGTACTGTATTATGCAAACAATACCACTTTCCACACTCAAAATATTAAACACACATACAACGTAACTTTGTATTACAATACGATATATTATAAAACTTTGGCTTTTGGGTGAGACATGCATCGGAAATTTGGCACCGACCAATGTTTGTCAGAATGTTGGAATCTACCATGAAAATGGCAACTGCAGTTTTTGCTGAAAAATTGCTTAACACTAAATATCTGATGTGGCTGTCACCCATAAGATAAAGTTATATACTGAACTCTAGCCACAAAAATCTACAAGCAAAAACACAATGAAACGTGGCAGTACCCATTAGCAGTGCCATGATTGGACTTCATGAACAACCCTCATATATGTGCAAGGTTGTTTTGTTTGAGGTACTGTTGTAACAGAGCGAACAACATTTAGAATTGGTGCGGCAAGCTTGATTATCCTGAGGCGCGCTACTCCCAACATTCCAACAGCTACAAGCCTTAGATCCGTAAAGATCGCATCCGAGAAGTTTGACAAGACTCAACAGTACGTAAATCAGGAGATACTCTATTAAGTAAAACCAACAGCCTTGGTGTAATACAAGTTTAATGACCTTAACAAAACAGAACTTAAACATTACAGACGCTTACTGATCAATCGCTTCTTGGGCCTTCAATTCAGTCTCTGAATCAACAGCATGTTCATACTGTTGAGGCTGATATTCTTCAATTGGTGCCGGCTGAATTTTTGCCACATCCTCAATGGTCCAGGAGAACTGATTCATCTCCTGCAATTTCACACAAAATAAACTCTTCATTTCAAAATCTTATGATTCTATGGCAGATTCTTGAGCCTAGTGTTTTCATCTCTGAAATGTGACTCATATCGCAGTGGGCCGGTTGATTGGCGTGCCAGTGTTTCAGAGAAATTATCTTCAATATAAAATCAGTTGATAACCAGCACACTGCAGCATGAAGTCATCACTCAAATGTACAAATACAAGTCACATGTCTAAGTTCTTTACATTACTGGAAGGTTTTACAAAAATACAAAACATAAAAATAAGTTAAGGTAAATAAATTGAATGAAATAACAAACTAGGCTCCAAAAGTGGCCATTTCAGTTATCAACAAGGACATGAAAATGTGACATTAATGTGGGAAATAGGCTGTGGCAATGTGGATCGAAATAAAATGATCTAGGGCATGCCATAAAGTAATGAATGAATTTTGTTTCAGCAGTTTAGAATTTTTAAGTTCTAATACTGGAGACTTGGTTACTTAGTTCAATATTTAAATGTTACCTGTGTTGGGCTTACAACCCTTTTAAAAACAGACGGACTAAAAGTGGGAAGATGAAGTTGTTTAATTAATGCAGCATCAAATGGATTTCGGACTTTATTTTGTCTTGATGGAGGAGTAGTATGTGAAGGTAGATTTGTAAAAGTTGTGCAGGGAGGTGGATTGTATGTTGAATGTGCACAATCATCTTCATTATCCTCCTCACGGATGTTTTCAAGACCAGTATTTTGGTTGGTACTAAAGGGTCCTGACGACATTCTTGGCAATGGTGAGATTTCATTTAGCCTGTTTGGCACTGAACTATATGATTTCCTGGTACAGCATTTTTCATTTCGATCTGTTTCCTCTGAGGCACTGTTGTCTTTACAGTCCTCTTGAATGCTATTTGCAGAATATGGTGATTCCATACCAATATAATTGCACCGAGCCCAACTGTAGGTAAATAGTTATATATGTATATAAAATATGGTAATTGCAGTACAACAAAGGAAATTTAAGGTAATTCTATTCTACAGCACTACACCGATCGAAATATTTAAGCATTATCAGCAATATTAACATCACTTTCGTCAACTAACGTACGCCATCACTCTAACCACGATACTAAACCCTGAAGTTCAAACTGTCGCGGACTTCAAAACTTTCGAGTGTTTTGATCGATGTTGATGCAACTTTCTGAAGGTTGTTCTGATCGATATACAAGCAAAGGGCACTGAATTTTGGTGAAGTTCGAATGTTTCTGACCAAATTAATCCGTGATCATAAGATACAGATGAAGGTGGGCGTTTAAATGTAGCGTAATTAATTGAAGTCAATGCATTTTGTCCTCATGTAGTTTAATTCTGCTGCTGAAGTACAGACCACATAAATATTGAGAAAGACCTTTCATTTTAGTGTATGGTACAGAATTGAAGCCTAAAAAATGGAGAAGACGCCAAAGAGGAAGAAAAATAGCGATGGTAGCGACTTCGACAGTTTCCAACAAAAACGTACGAAACAAGAAGGTATGTAAGTAGTGTAGAATTAATCATCATTGATTATATTATTTTGAAAAACAAGTGAAGAAATATAACCTCACAATGTCAAATAATCTCGATTTGTTTCAATCGATAGTGATGTTGACTGCAATGGCTTCGCCATGTGCAGGGTTGTGAACGTGGGGTCTTCCTATTTGTGCACGTGCTTAATTACAGTAAATATTGTGCTGTTCTATTCTGTTCGATTCCCTGTAAGCAATAATGATCCGTCGACAGGCACGTTTGAGGAGAGAATATTTGTATAGGAAGGCAATTGAAGGAAAGAAACGAAAGATTCAAGACAAGAAAGATAGGTTAAAACAATGTTTGGAAGAAAATCTCCCGATACATACGGATTTGAAAAGAAGTGCCCTGGATTTTCAGAGAAAATTAGAATGGGAAGACAAAGGGCCGGAACTTGCTGTTTCGATGGGTACAGAAGTAGGTGGTGGTGGTGGTTCACATGAAGATGATGAGTACAGATGGGCTGGTGTTGAAGATCCGAAATTAATGATCACAACCTCACGTGATCCTTCGTCTCGCCTCAAAATGTTTGTCAAGGAACTCCGGTTGATCTTTCCAAATTCCCAGCGCATGAATCGTGGCAACTATGAAATGAAGCAGCTTCTTCATGCTTGCCGAGCTAATGACGTCACAGATTTTGTTGTTGTCCATGAACATCGTGGTGTACCAGATAGTTTGGTTGTGTGTCATCTACCCTACGGACCATCTGCATACTTCACTATGACGGATGTCGTTATGCGGCATGATATACCCGACATTGGCACGATGTCTGAACAGTATCCACATCTAATATTCCACAACTTCAAAACTGCCCTTGGGATTCGTGTTTCAAATATATTGAAGTACCTGTTCCCTGTACCCAAGGACGACAGTCGGCGAGTGATCACCTTTGCTAATCATGATGATTACATCTCATTTCGACATCATACATACAAAAAAGTGAATGGAAAAGACATTGAATTGTCTGAAGTTGGACCGCGATTCCAGTTGAAACTGTATGAAATAAAATTGGGAACATTGGAACATGCGGATGCAGCTGATACTGAATGGGCATTGCGACCATATATGAACACAACTGCAAAGCGAAGGTTCCTGTCAGATGAAGATGGTTGGAAACAAGATGATGATGTGTAACAAGTGTGAATAAATAAATGAACATTACAAAAATCATTATGTGTTCTGTAAATCCAATTCATATTTGTATCATTTCCAACATGGAAGGGTTGTTGCACAATTGAAGTGCTGGACTTTTCATTCATTCTATCCATACAAAAACCAAATGTTACAACTGAGTCGTAACATTTGGTACTCCTGCTTCATGTGGACCCAAAATTCTTGGCCTGGAGACCAGTTATTGTGCCAGTTTTCCTTCTTCCTGCCAGGTTTAAGCTGTTCTAGTAGTTAAATTAGGCTGTAGTCCTTCCTTAACATTTGCAATTCATTATTCATCACTGTACAGTCTGAGCTACTGATACCAATGTTAAATAAAGAATGAAACAAACCAAGTGATTTTGAGTAAAAGAGAAGACCTGTTAATAATTTGGATGAGTCATTGTAGCTTGAATGCAAGATGAAGATGCCACAAATAAGAAGTGTTATGACATATTTCACAATAACCAATGCAAAACTGGAAAAAAGTGTTGTTTCTTACTGGAACTTGAAGATGGCCGTCTTCCGGCTCGTTGTGCCGTGTAGTCTGGTAGAAGTTTACTGTCATTTCAGAGGTCCTTGCCACCTCCATCATCAGGGCGACGAGTAAGAGGTAGCAGGGACCTCTGAAACGTCTGTGAACTTCTACAAGATAAAATGAGTTCCAGAAGAAACAACATTTGAGAGGTTTTGAAGACTTAAAGGGGGGGATAAACATTGGTTAAAGATGATTCTCACTTCGTGTGGCCCTCATTATTGTGCAGTCCAGTGTACGAGGTGAATGTGTGTGATTCTGATCCAAGGAAATGGACATCTGACTGAAAGAAGAGGCAGGTAGATCTTGTGGTTAGTGTCAATCGATTTTGACCAGAGGTTAAAGGTTTGGATCTGCAAAGTCTGCTACTTGGTAATTCTTCAGTGCACACAGTCCTTTGCATATAGCAATGTTTGTCTGGAAACACTGTCGCACAAACACGCATTTTTTTAGTCATAAGACATTTCAGACCAGATCAGAAATTTTGATGCCAGAGAAGCATGCACTTTTTTGAAAACTGGAGAAGTTAGAAACTGCTCTCTGAAGATGGTCCTTATTCCTTGTGTGAACACTGCGTATTCATTGATGAGAATATGTATTCACATGGAAGAGGCAAAATCTCTCATTTCTTCAACAGACTTCTGCATGAATTTTTAGACTTGGCACCAGCCATAATTCTAATATTATCTTTTGTAAAGTAAATATCATTATGCTGTTAGATGGATTACCCCACCCCCCAAAAATATTCTACATTTCATCATTGAAATAGGCAAAATAAATTTGTGTGTGTCGGTGTTGCTGATACGAAACACGGCTTTAACTGCATAACATGCTCTTATGAATCATTTCATCAATATTATTATTCCAATTAAGTGGTTATTATTACTGAAACTCATATTCTAGTTGCTATACTTATATCAACATCTAGAGGTTTGTGATGATATCATCATTATAATAATTTTCAGACCTGGAAGTGACTGGTGTGTCGCGATCAGGACGTGTGCGAAAGAAGTCATCAAAGTTGATGGACTTTGAGTCTCCAGACGAGATCGATAGCCGGTACAAACGTCGAAATGAAAGAAGTGATTCTACTCCTATTTCTTCAGGTATATAAACGATCCTGACTGAAGTAATTTGTTTCATACCGCATTATCCCTCCCTTGCCTCTTCCTCTTGACTTTTACTTCTAATGGATGCAGGGTTTCGTATCTTCATCCCTTACCCACTTTCCTTTATCCCTCTTTTACCACGTCTTTCCTGCCTTCCACCCACTTTCTTTTTCAAACCATTTCAGCAATAATGACAAATATCAGCTGTACATTTGTAAGAATTACTGAACTTCTAAAACCCGCCGAGTATTTGTAAAATACAACACTTTTCCATCTTGAGTTATTACTCAGAACTTTTAATTTCCCTGTGAGCACAATGGAACATGCATCAAAGCAAGAAAACATCAAACTGGGTTTTATACAGAGTGTCCAGTAACAATGACAGTAGTTCAGGATCTTATTTCTGAGGTCAGTCCCAGTCAGAAATGTCATATGAACATAGGTTGAATCTCAACAGTTGAAGAACTACATTCTTTGAAAGTCAGGATTATTTGAACATCAGAAAAACTCAGTAATCCAGATTGTAATACACCATCATCAGAAGCCTTTAGAATCAACAAGTACACAAGAAATAGGAAATAATCAAGTTTTTAATTTTGTTACTTCTGGAAGCAGTGACAGTGTCGAGCCACCACGCTGTGGGAAGCGGTCGAGGTCGTAAGCCCCAGCTCCACACAAACAGCAGCGGAGCAGCAGCAGCAGCAGAGGCTTTGGGAGGAAGTCCAGTGGAAAAATCACGCGAACTTACGATTAAGATGGAATCACATTCAGAAATGTCTGAAGTAGGTCAATGGACAGTTGAAAAATGATTGCATGTCTTGTTACTGGTTAACCGTTTATCATGTATGCATTAATTGTTCCTAATATGCCATCTTAAATGGATTCAGCTGGCTTTCTGCTGACGGCTGTATATTGTGTTTCAGGAAGAAATGCCCGATGAGTATTCGTCAAAACAAGAAGATTTAGAATCTTCAGAATCTGACTTGGATTTAGGGATGTATCAACCGCCAGATGTGGCTGATGACGATTCTAGCATGGATTCAATGGGTAAATATTTCGGTAACCAGTATTTGTGGGTTCCTAGGGAATTGATCCAGATTATCTTCTCTGAACAAAATAAACTGATACAAAGAAAGCATGACTGGAATTGTTTTTCCGGTTCTGCACTTTCACCGATATTAAATTTGGCCCCACCTATTCCAGCTGGGGAAGGTCCTCACACAGAACCCTGAAACTTGTACAATCTAACCAGTTTAATTCCTGCAGTGACAGCGCTCATTAACATTGACTTCAGTTTCAGTAAATGTAATAATTTTTCAGGAATGAGTGACGTAGATGATGATGATTTGGATGACGACAGTCTTATGATGGATGATCGAGCAGACTCTAACCGACGCAGAGAATCACTGCCCTCTCAGGTACTTGTTACATAAAGAACAAGGCTTTAAAGGATGAACTTAAAAACAGTGCCTACCCTCATTAAGTGCGACAGTATAAACTGTGTGCTGCAGATTTGGGTGTCTGTTCATACTTCGTTGATTATGATTTCAGGCACTGTGTAGTAGGGGCAGCTTGTAACAGTAAATACATTTTTGAAACAGAAGTCTCAGAAATTCAGCTTTTTTATACATCATTTTTGAAGGTGACATGCTATATTCACTCTGCATCACACACTTTATTTCCCACAAACTAGGCAGAATGCGTGTTCCTCTCTTGTTACAACATTTGTATTCTTTTGTAGAATTAGAATATTCTATTAGATACCTTGATTGATTTATTCCCTTGAATAACATTTCATTGAATTTACATTTGCTTTTACAACTTGCAGGCTCAGTCACTTTACATGCTCGAGAAATCGTCGAAGAAGAAACTGGTAATTCGGGATGGCAAGATCGTAGGACGCATGAAGGCGCAGAGGAAGGACAAAGGCGTAAATAAACTTCACATTTTCAGACGACTTGTCTTATGGGTTGTAGTGCCATGAAGTCTGGTAGAAGTTCTCTGACATTTCATAAGTGAACTTCTTCCAGACTACACGGAAGACAAGTCATCTACGCAGACTCACCACCATGAAAACTTCAAATCCTACACACTGTACAATCTTACAATAAGGCCGATCTCAGATGTTTTACAATTGGCATTTCTGATTCCAGAAAACCCGTTTCACAGCCTACATGTTATGGGCGAAAGAGATCCGTCAGGAGATTCTAAGAGTAAATCCAGATATGGGTAAGCTAATGCGAGTTTAGTTGCGAGAGAAGGAACACAAAAGACAGATTTCAGAGTGAGAGGTGGGTGATAAATGACCCAAACACCGCAGCCACCTTCAACATATTGCGCATCCGCTTCTGTAATTCAGAAGCCATCTAGTAGTTTTACACTGTGTATGAAGTTCAATGCTTTGCATTGTGATAGTCACTTGTTTCATAAAGTGCATCTTTAGGTGACAAAATCTTACTTCAGGTAGGGCCTCACAGCGAGTCCACCTCCTGTCTGTTGTGATGTCGCTCATAGACGTCTCTTATCAACTCAACTCGGCTGGTTCTTACGCAATTCTTGGTAGTCCCTTATTTTGGCACAGGGTTCTTGAAGGAAACCAGGCGTGGACTGGCAATTTTTCTGCCATTTTCTATCCATCTAGTCCTTGATGGCCCAGTCAGCTGCTATTTATGAGATGTTGCAGGGCAGTTCAAAAGTACGAATGTTGTTCAAATCCCTCTTCCTTTGTCAGTTTGTAGAGTTACATTTCCCTCAAAAGTTTTACTTAATTTTAGTGTCATCCTGTCTTTCTTACAGATTTTGCTACAATGAGCAAACGCCTGGGAGAACTCTGGGCAACAGTGCCAACAAATGAAAAATACGTAAGCACACACACAAATGTGCATGTATATTTTTATTCAGAAACCTCATCTAAAATTACAAGTAATATTATGTTATATCAACTTACTGCATTACACTGTATATAATCTGAAAAAGGGCCATTTTTATGTGTGTCTTGTTCCCACTTTCAAACCTATCACCCGCGCTTATTAATTTAAAATTACATGTCTAGTGTAATCCTGTCACTCTCTAATCATCATTCCAAGCCTCCCTTACCCCCAGGCTTGTTTGCCATAATTTTCTCGATTTTATGTTAAGAGAAATTAAAAATGAATACTTTTTGCAGAACTGGAAAAGACGTGCGAAACGTCTGGCAGTAAAAGGCCCTCAAGGAAGCAATCTTGCAAGCATTATAAGCATGGAGGCAGGGAAATATAAGACCCCTCCTTCCAAATCCAAGTTTATTAACAAACTTGGAGGAAGGATACCTCAGCAGACGAGTGGGGTTTCTGCAAGTCAGACAGTGACAGGCAGCACACATCAGCAGTCCTTTTTCCAGTTGGGTGCACCATCAGTTGGGAATGTCACCATTTCCCCACCAACTCAAACTGATTCTAAGTAAGACGTGTGTATTATTTTCTACAGACTCACAAGGACTATGTAGGGTCTCCAGTTTATCATGAAGGCAAATCCTGTACTGTGTCAGCACACTGAAGAAGCCGTTGAAATCTTTGTTGGCAGTGTGCATGCCGGTGTGCACTTCTGATGTGCAAACATACCCACTTTTCACTTTGCACATTTAAAAAAAATTGATACCATATTTATGGGACTTCCCTTTCATATATACACGAAAGATATGCCCCCTAAATGGTCAAATTGCTTCATCAATACTGACAGCCTCTTCTGGTCTACAGACATCTTTAAATTGTTGTCAGAGTTTTCGTAACTGGACAGATTTTGTCGTCGCCTTCTGAAATGCGTATATTTTCATACGCATCTGAGTCAGAATTGTTCACTACTTCCACAGTTGTCACCCAGAAGACCATTTTGCAATGGACGCTTGCTTGTACTTGCGACTGGCTGGTCCAGCTTGGATTGCTATAAGAACGTACTATTTATACCATGCCAATTTACAAAGGTTCATAATAAAAAGATCTGCAACCTGAGAACAGAAAGTGTTGGATATTTCTTGACCCTTATGATCTTATGAACGACAGCTTTGCCAGCTGCGATAGAGTGTCGCCATCAGCTTCTTCTGGCCCACAAGGTCTGTGCATTGCTGATCTCAGTGTTTGAATTTGTAAACAACCCCACATTGATACTGCAGAAACTACACGCATGCAAGTTGTGACCAGCAAAAAATTCATGTCAATATTGCAGTTGGCGTTCTTTCTGTGACTTCTATGTTCTGAGCAGGACACGCACTACTGCCACCTCCTTGGCGAGAACGTGAACGACTGCAGCTTTCTTTCACGCTTGTTTCAGACCTGGGAAAGTGGGTTTGGTAACAGAGCCTATGGTTGGTCCAGGGTTGTACAAAGTCATTGGAACACAACCGGTGGATGTCGCGGCACATCTCAAGCTTCTTGGGGAGTCCCTCACGATCATCGGTGAGAGGCTGAAGGAACACGAAGTAAGTTCAGCTTGAGGAACATTTTTGGGTAATTCAAGAGATGAGAACAGATCTGCCTACTAACAGAATAACATTTTATGCAAGAACATGACTGTAAATTTGTGCTGTTGTGCTCGGAAACGGCACTTGGCTTACAATTGCTCCCTCTCGGGAGTTGAACGTGAATCCCTCTCACTGGACAAAAAACCTAACCTAACTTATAATGTGCTGTTTCTTCTTCCAGGGTCAGATTGCTGTGTCAGGCAGCTTGTCTGTTCTGCTGGACTCACTGCTGTGTGCTCTTGGCCCCTTAACATGCTTAACCCAACAAGTGCCCGAGACCAACGGCTGTCCGCAAGAATTACTCAACAAAATTCTTGATAATATAGCGTATTTCATGCCAGGTCTGTAGAAATACCTGGGATTATTAAAATGTAACCTAACCTCACTAACAATACTGTATTTTTTTAAACTCATTAACTTGTAACTGAAACTCCATGAATAAAAAACTGTTTCATTGCTTCTTCACTGGTTTTACTGACTTTCTTTCATTTGAGTACACCCTACATACTTAATTTCCTGGGGGTAAAGTGTGGCCAGAACATGACACTCGACTCGCAAAGTTCAAGTGATTTTTTCCCAGACTTAGCTGAGGAGAGAGTGGTCCGAAACCTAAGTGCCCCCTCCACAAGAAATGAATCAACAAGAGCCATGGCTGTGTTTTTCATCTATTCACAAATTCTGTGTACAGGATAAACAAAAAGACCATTCTTGAAGTCTTCAATGTCAGTGATGAAGTATTCATTTGGCTGGCCATTTCTATATTCTTCAGCAATAAACTGGAGAGGCAGCTCTGATGGAAAATCGCACTGACCAGAAGGCCCTGCCATCAAAAAGAGAATGAAGGTGTTTTATATCTTCAAAATCACCTGGAAATCAGTATTAAAATCCAAACATGATATCGTAAAACTGGTAACTAACTTCCCTTACCAATAGAAAACTTCATTAACTGCATCTTACCTTGAGCTACATCACAATCAGTTTTTCTCTCAAATATATCAACCCCAACTTCATTTATTCTGGCATAGAGAATGCCACTACAAAAATCCATCTAAGTTACTTTCATTTTAATATAATTTGCTCGCCATGCTTTCAGTGTTGCACATCTTTGAGCATAGAAGAAAAATTGAAAATAAAGAGTGTGATGCTTACCAACCTAAAAACTTTAAACTCAGGCAGAGAGAGAGACGGCAAAATCAGTAAATTCACGATATCATAAGAACAGGAACCAAAGTGTGAGCAAAGAGAAAACAATTTCTTTGCTCCAAGTATGTTTTGAATAGTGGCAACATTAACTGGATAGCACTTGGCACTGGCATGAATCGTCTGCCATCCATTTGAGCAGGCAGCACTGTCAAAATTCCTCAATTCAACTGGCAGTTCCTACACGAATATGGCAAGTCTGAAGTTTCATTATTCTGCCTTACATGTGTTACGACAAGGTTACAAGAGAGGTGAACATCTGAAAACCTTAGCATTAAAATATAGGACAAAAAAAATGTTATGAATTATATTCACACATCAGTTAATATGTACATATTCTGCACCAGAACACACATAATATCCTCACGCCTTTTTCGCTGTGTGCATTTAGAGGTATTAAATTTGCCTTGTTGAATAGTTCCCACTTTGGTCAGCAGACTGCAGCACCTCGATGTCTACCTCACAACTTTTCTCATGCTGTCCGTTCTGTTATCACCTTTCGCAGGATAATGAAAAGTATGATTTTGAGGTTGTGCAGAACAGCACAATCACCACATCAAATTTCATCCAAACTCATACAGTGGTTTTTGAGTTGAATCATCTGGACGAGAACTTTACCTGCGTTTCAGAGGTGCTTACTGCCTCCATCATCAGGGCGAAGAGGCAGCAAGGTCGTCTGAAACATTGGTAAACTTCCAGTAGCATACACAGCGCTACAATCTTTCTACTCACTGCCACAAGAACCTCAAATCCCACACGGTATTTACCGGCTCTCTCTCTTCTCAGATTAGTTACCACCTTCTACGATCTCTCTCTGTACACCGCATCTACTTCAAAACTTACATTTCTGCATCTCATTTGGCTGCAGTGGCTGGTGATTTATACTGGGTTTATTAACTCTAGTATGCAGAGGCAGCTCATGTTCTTGCGTCTTACTTGTGCCAGCTGAACCGACAACCTGTAAATGACATCGAAGTTTATGTCAATTTCTGTACAAACACTGCACCAGGTCCAGCTGGCCTTGAACCATGAGACCATCTGCAAAGCCTTACCCCTACTACACAACCAGAGGCAGCAAGGGTCTCTGAAACGTCAGTAAACTTCTACCAAATTACGCGGCACAACCACCCAGAAGACAGCCATCTTGATATTCAGAACAAGTTCATACATGTTCCAAGTACAGAAAAACATGGTTAATATGTACAATGTTTTGTGTTATGTTCTGTATGGAAATTATTATTAGATCTGCACAGTGTTAAAAGATGCATTTTAACCCTCCAGATGGTTTGAAAACATCATACAAATTACCTTCATTACATGAATTCACAGCAACATGCTTAGTTAAGCACTGACAACTTTTTCTTTATCTTAAGATAAAGAAAAACCTTCGTTGTAGTCAGGGTACCGTAGGACGAGGACGAAAACTCTTCTTGAAACGTAAGTGTTTTCTAAATTAAGCCTCCTCACACTGCTGGTAGCCCAAGAATAATTCATTATGCCTAGTTACCATGAAAGCTTCACACCACACATAATGATTGGTCGTTACTGCAGATTATAAACAAACATCCTACGTGGTGTGTATCTAAAATAAGTTGGTATAAATCAAGAGTCACTGACCTGAATTGACAGTTTCCGCAAGTTAGTCTTAGTGCCACATAACACGTGGTCACTGTACCACTTCTTTATCTCTGGCATTTTAATATCTTCTACGCAAGAAACCTTGAAAAAAATAAGGCAGAGTTAACTTAGTAGGCATCAAAACTGTGGGGGGAAAAGTGGAATAAAGGATGGGAACTTCACGTCAACGGAAGTTTAATTAACTTTTCAGACTCAAGCATTAGCTTAATAGTGACTTTGAAATCCAAACTTTTCACTTCACTTCTATCCAGCATAACGAAGAAAGATTCATTTTGGGAATTTTGTCTATGATGACATTCCACCTACAACAGTTTCAGTTTATATCTTTCAGTGCAGAGCAGAGACAAAACTTAGAACTTACCTCTCTCTCCCGCTGGTCAAACATGTAGTTACCGGACGTTATTTGATCCCAGTTCCGGGAGACTTCCTCCTTCAAGCAGACGTCCGATAACTGTTTCAGTTTGATTAGAGAGCTGCGTGCTTCCTCCAGTTCCTTCCCTCGTATTTTCTTGAGCGTCTTTGAAAATGTTTTGAGGAAGGCTTCGATACGGGCATCGACATGTTCCACACTTGAAACGGGGTAAATAAATGAATGCCAAAAAGAACTAGTTCAAAAGTTAATTCAGACAGTGAAAACGATCTTAATGGAAAAACAAATGAATATTTTAATAGTTTTTCTCAAATCTTCTGCCTTTAAAGAATGGACTTCTGCAATTTTCTCAAAATAATCCAATTAAATTAATTCAAACTATAGAGAAGAATGAATTGTAAAATTACATTCTAAATATCAATTTAGAAAGCAATGGATCCGTCTCTATACTGGTTTAAGTGTTGTTTATCTGAGAAAGCTGGAAACCCAGTTCACACACAACTCTGTTTAGCCATTCAGCATTATCTTCACTGATGTTTTCAGAACTTCTCACAGCACACACATCAAGAACTTTGGATTTGCTGATTTATTTTTTAGAAAATCATCTTCTTCTAGATCTGGAAGAAGTTTCCTCCACGATCAAAGTAGCATCACTGGATTCATGGAAGAGCATGTTCAAGATACGCCAGCCCTTGAAAGGGTTCACTTGAAGTAATTTTTACATTTTACTTCTATCTCGCATAAATAATTGTAATTAATGGAAGGTAAAGAAAAGCCAGATGTGAATAGATACAAGGAAATTACAAATGACTGGAATTATTCTGCCAGCTGTACGCTTACCTTTCTTATAGTTTCAGACTGAAAGTGCTTTACTTTTGTTGCAGAGTGTACAACAAAGAACAAAACAGAAATTTTATTCTGGTACACGGTAATGAGCAGAGCATGGAAACAAAATGGCAAACCGACTTCCTTTCCAGCACTCCTCCTTTGAGATGCCACGAAAAATGACGCAGACAACATGACCTTAATCAAGAAAGTGAAGGAATTCTTTGAAAAAGGTTTTGCACTGGCAACGCAAGTACACGATATGATGTATGATTCAGCTGATAGATGTCTTTGCCATAGCATAACACAGTAAATGACTTGTACATAGCAGCAGAAAGATTTCTGCCATATGAATACCATTTAAATATCTGCGAACATACCTGTTCTTTCCAGCTTGGCAGTTCACAGTGACAGAAAAACCAAGAATGCCAAATGTGTGTCTTGGACAGGAATACACATGATAGCCTAGCTGTTCCTTCGTTCGAAGTATATCAAACACCGGTTCTTCCATTAGCATCTACAAGCGTAATAATCATTTCAAACAGGGCACACCTTTAAAACATGGTGTACATCATCTGACATAACATAAATAGATTTTGAAGATGCCAAATCACTAATTTTTCATACACATGTGTGTGTGTGTGTGTGTGTATTCTTTTCTGAAACTTGTACTTTTGTATGAGGAATACTGGAATCACAATTTCATGAAATGTTTATCAAAATTAGTGGTGTTTCTCAATTTAATATGTTTATAGTGTCAACAACATTTGATATCACAACAGACAAACCCAGTGACATTGGTGGATTTTGACCTCAACAACAGTGGATAGATGTTGTCCACTGAAGTAAACATACTTTCCAGATGCACTCTTCATGATTTCCCATACATCATGGACCTTCTCCAGTTTCATTTATCAGAGATGTCATCTGCCACAGCTCAAACTCAGAACCTGAATACAATGAAACCTGCACTCGTAATCTGGCAGTCAGGAAGACACCAATTCCTAAGATTCGCTTGGTTGTACTGGAGTGTCATGTTGTGAATATGGTTCAAATATTATTGACGTCTGTCTTCACACAGAGATAATAAATAAGTGTATGAATTTATTTATTACGTATTACCAGTTGTGTGAAAACAGACAATTAATATCTTAATATCTGGTCTGAAGGGCCAGAGACACCATTACCCCCACACCATCATCATCACCCTCATCACGGAGGCAGCAACGACCCCTGAAACGTCAGTAAACTTCTACCAGACTAAAGGGCGCAACAACCCAGAAGACAGCCATCTTCAGACTCGCCACGAAAACCTCAAATCCTAAAAGATAAACTTTCTCCTTCTAGCATTGCTTCAACTTTATAAAGTCACCAATCTCTTGCGTCTTCCCACGGCTTTCCTGTTCCAAGTTTAGTATAAAAGTAACCGCCTTCAGTATGATTAAACTTACCATAAGAAGATCTAGAATACATAAATTCTTGATAGTAATAGGTCCAGACTGGTAATAGTTAGTTACAGTACTATTGGGATCTCGCGAGTTGAAAGACTTCACACGGCAGCAATGTTCGCCAAGTGGGATTTGCGTCACTCGAATCTGCGAAGGTTAGCACAGACTTAAATGTCAGTACAATGTGAATCAGTCAGACTGGACGGTTCATCAACGTGATAAAGCACAAGGAACCCATCATACTGCATACACTCACTTGTGGATGTGTGTTGGGCAGAAGAGGGGCACATTTCAGAATACCCACAATCCTCTCACAGGCATCAACTGCTTGCCGTTCACTAATGTTACCTTGCACTAGGCTTTGTACGTACAAACGTTCCACAAAATGCCTTGCAAATGCCTTTAATTCGGTGACAGCGATCTTAGACATGGCAGCATGCTTCTGAAGTGCGTTCCAGTGAACATGAAGAAGTACTGAGAATCGCAAGTCCCTGTTAAAAGGACAGAATTACGTAGTTTTCTACACATGACCAACAAAATTGATGAAAGGAGAAAGACGACTTATACACTACAAGTACTTCATAAAAGGCAAAACTTGTGTAATCTGCATGGATTTCAAAAGGATACCAACTTGTCTGTTCATCCTACCAACAAACTGGGAAACCAAGAGTGGACACGTATCAGATACGGCCATAAATGATGAACAACTGTACGAAGCAACTTTCGTGTTGGAAAAAATTTTAGGCAGCAGAAATTATGCATAAAGATACAGGGGATCACAAAGTTGAACAATTCTAAATGCATAATTTATTTATGATTGCATTTCTATGGTAATGGATGCATTTAAAGAATATGTCTTTTCAACAACTTCTTATACTCAGATTAATTTAATGATTCTTTCTCAATAGCACAGGTTCTATAACACTGAATGCTGGGATACTGTAAGCAATGCATTCTGAATAACATAGAAGACAGCAGTCATGACCTGTTTTATAACTCTTTACGTAACATTTTTTTAGAATAAACGTAAACAGATTATAATAAAAAATAAAAATACAAAGCCACACACACATTGCAAATAAATTATGATGACATAAGTCCAGAATTTAACTGCATTTTGAAGTACAGTATTAACCTTCTCATCAAAACTGACATAAGACTTTCTGGTGAAAGATAATGTCCTTGATAGTTTAGAGAAATCATTGCTTTTAAAGACCTCCCTTGAAAATCTATCAACCACTCACTTAGCTATACTTACTTTTCAAGTTTCTCAGGCTTCAGGCAGCTGTTGTAAAAATATCTACGCTGAACTTCCTTCAGTGCTTCGAACAGGCTAGGTGTCAAGCTGCTCTCAAATTCTGCCATGTAATTAACCACAGCTTCCAACAGCAACTGCATGAACAAGTAAATTAATCAAAGAAACAATTTCCGTCATCAGGGCGACAAGTCAGTCATCGCCCTGATGATGTAGGCAGCGAGGGCCTCTGAAAAGTCAGTATATTTCTACCAAGCGACATGGCACAACAACCCAGAAGACAGCCAACTTCAGACTCACCGCCTTGAAAACCTCAAATCCTACTCGGTTCACATTATTTTCAAAAATTATTTATGGGTAACTTGTGCACATCTGAGACAATTTCACAACCAGACATTATGAAATATAAGGTAACTTGACACTTCATTAAACTTACAGGTAACTTTTGATTAAATCCACTGAACTTCAGTACAATGCCCTTGTCACCAGGAGTTATGGACCAACTGAGATCCGCAACATCGGCTGGGTAGAGTTCTTCCACCAAAAGCTGCTTCAGGATTTCCACATACATATTTAGCATCGCTGCACTGCAAAGACAGTAGAAATACAGGATCACAAACAAGTTGGAAAAAATATGCATAATGTAACTGTGGCATGTGGGCCAGAATCTGAAACATGCAACTTTAAACAGAAATCACAAACATGGTCTTCAACGAAACCTAGGACAAAACTGAAGTGAAATTATTCTAGAACAACAAAGCATTCATTATATCGAAGTACCCACATAAAATGCTGGAATACACATCTATTTTCACGCAGTCTTCTTCTAGTACTGTTTCCCCTTTATGTGGGCAAACTAAATCACCAAATACAACTTTATAAAGAGTTTACTTAATGGTTTGGATAACATAAAAGCAGATATTTAATCAACACAATCATAAAACGGACATTAAATTCCTAGAATACATGAAACCACAGTTTTCATTGTGTACAGAACTTTTCTGTACTACTGTTCTTACGAAAATATGATTTTTTATTGGAATCAAAACAATAACCCTAAAAATAGGAAAACTTTTACCTACTCTTGTGGTGAGGTGAGTGGAAGAGGCGAAATCAAGTAGAAATAAAAGAATGCCTGAGGCAGCTTGAACTTGCAGTCACGGCGATACCAAACTTCAGAGAATTCATCATCTTGCACCTTAACTGGATACTTTTTGTTGTCGTCTTGTTGGTCAGGGAACGGTAGAAGACTGAAGTCCGACGTTAAGAAAATGTTGGGTTCTGGCAAACTGAAACTTTGGTCAGGTTCTATGCTCAACCATGATTCAAGCCAATCATTGGGGATATCTGTAACAGATTAATTGAAGCGTTCATTCAATCAGGAAGCCCCATGATGGTTCTACGTCCTTTTAATTTTCTAATTAAAACACGGGATGTTGTGATACAGGTATGAGCTTTTCCACACATGCATGTTCTGAGACTTTAATTACATCATTTAACAATTGTTATCAACTGTAGAGATTATGTATACAGTGCCAAATGAGAGATTATAGAATTACTCCAAACCATGAGATAGAAACTGTTATTGAAGTAGTCAGCCAATATTTAATTATTAATCTGGTATTCACCTTCGACGGACCAACAAAAGTCGAAGAAGACTGCAACATACTCACGACACTCAATTTACTTTTCAATAATCAGCTACATCAAGCGTTTCCACAGCTCCATAATTTTCCATCAAGAGGAGTTATTATATTAAAATAAGAAGTCCTTATATATGTAAATTAAACTTACCACATACACAATATTCTGTCTTAAACCAGTACTCTGTTTTATCAAATTCCCTTCCAGAATCTTTAGAAGACACCATTATATTAACAGTATCAGGTTTCAAAGCATCCAGGCATTTCTTTATGGCCTATAAAGTGTAAATAAAACACCATCAACAATATAATGAAGTTAAAAGTAACACAGTTACATGAAGTGGGTCTCAGGGATACCATATTTGTGTTGAATAACTACAGTATCTGTCACCATTAAAAACTATTTCCTGCTCTTATATTTCTGTTACAATTAAATCAAACTGATAATTTCAATGCAAAGTAGTGACACAAAAACTGATTACCTAACATCACACACACTTAAAGAATAAACAAAGCCAGATTGCCAAGATGGATTTGAACTGAAAGTAAAATGAAAATACGCAGGACAGAGACCATGATCAAGATGGAAGGACAACCACGAGGAGCTACAGGACAACACAGATAAGTGCAGAAGTTTGGTTGTAAGACAACCCACACAAAAAAGAAGTGTCTTAGGAAGAAAAATTACGCACTGAAAGGTCTACAAACTTTAACACACGCAGACAAAATTTGACAAATAAAAGACATTCTAATGCAATTTTAATCGTTCACCACGTCACATACTGCTCGCAGAGCGAATCAAAGAAGGCAAGCCAATCACATTAATGGTTGAAATAACTGCCTTGCATAATAAAAATGTCAGCAGCCTGTTATCACTGATACTAGACCTGCCTAGAAACTAAAATACATGAGAAACTGCTTCTTTGATTGTCTTCACGTGGTTGAAAAATCATAAGTGAGAATATGGCTCAAATGAATACTTCGTGTCAGCAAACCTACTGGCACACTTAACCAAATTTTTAGTAGATAAGAATATAATGTTGACTGTTCAGCATTAAATGTTCAATGTTATTTTGAAGGTCACAGATTCCCTTCTTCTTCTAATATTTTTGTATGTGAAAGCGCATATAATATGTGGGAAATCCTTGACTTTTATCACATTTCATAATGACAAGCTGTACGAACAATCTTACCTCTGGATCATATTCAAAATAGAGTTCAGATCCCGTTATGTAATCTTCTGGAGGATATAACTGCATATTTTCAGCCAGATTTTCAACATATTCGACTGCGGGGAGTTCTTCAGCAAATCGGAAGGTAGTTTCTTCAATGGTTTGCAGTTCGCGGAAGAACCGTTCTGAAGGGCCAACTTTCTGCAGCATTTTTATGTAGCCAAATACAGCATTCAGGACCTAAATATAAGCAAACATGTTAAATGTAAGAAAGACAAATGTACCCATTACAATCTAAGAATACGCGACTGACATACTTGGATTTTATGGTTCAGGACAGGTTGTGGTGACGGTTTTAAGCCCTTTAGATTCTGCAATACAGAAGTTAAGGATCAGTGGAATAAGAGTACTTAACGACTATCCAGAGGATACATGCCGTGGCAAGAAGTTACAGCAATGCTGACGACAGACTAACCAACAGAACGCCTCACTTTTCGCTCAAAAAACCTTCAGATTAAACCCGCGTGTTATGTACAAAGGGGCAAGTTTCTCTCCATCAGACCTGCACATACTCAAGAGTATACATACCTCATGCAAGTGCGTCAATCCAACATCAGTGAGTACAATTGTTATTGAAAAGAGAGTGAACATTGAATTGTGTTCACACCCATCACTTCCAGCGCCAGAAAATATATCAAGAGCCCATACACTGCAGAAAGGAACAAACATGGTATTACATTTATATCTGTCTATGAACTGAAATATTTCATAACCTTTCAGCAGCCTACTTCACGGAAGGAAATACTGTAAATTATAATAGGTAAGAATAAATCAATAAAGCTAGACATCCCAAACAGAACGGAACATGCAGAGTAAACTTACTTCTTCCGCAAATAGGCAAGAAGAGATCCCTTGCCTTCGTGTCCAATTAGCGACGACATATAATCATCAGGCTTAGATCGGTACATATGCAACATTGAAGGCAATGCCCAACTCAACTTTACCTAGAAGACAGACGGAATTCATTTATAAATAAATGCAACAATGAAATCCTACTGCAAAAATCTCACTTCTTATCAGACAATGCTAACAGATTAAAGAGATAGCGAATCACGTTTGTTTCCTCACCCATTTCTTGCAAAAATCGAGACACTTGGAACAAAACTTTGACCTTTTATGTCAAGAATCTGATAGCACAAGCGAGAAAAGTATCTTACTTACCGTACTACTAAATGTATCGTACATTCATAAAAGTATCTTCCCTTACAACTCGCTACTAGAAATAGGGACAGTGATCACAGTCAAGTAAATCCATTCTTACTGAAAGCAGCACCAATTCATTAAGGAAGGTGGAAATACAAGACTTGTACTAACCTGATGCATGTCCTTAACTGGTTTCACCCAATACATCCTATTAAACTCTGACAACTTGAAAGGTAAATCAGCAAACTCCTTAAAGTCATCTGGTGGCAGACCATTGCTAGGGACAGCCGAGAAAGCATCGCACACCAGAGATTCCAATGTTTCCATGGGCATACGAGCCTGAGAATACAATCCTCAGATTAATGTCTGCTGACATAAGCCGCAGCTAGTCAAGTCAGAAAATATAGACTATGACAGCGGAAGAGACGTGTATAAATAACAAATATGCGTAAACTGCGCACGACCCTCGGATTCCCATAAATAACCATGTCGACACAGTAACGATAATATACCGACGACAGAATATGTGGAGAGACGACTGTTGTCGACGTAACACGTGCAACGTACGCAAAGCAAACGAAAGGAAAAGCTTGAATTTTTATCTGCACAAGTTCTAACATGTTAAAATTCTATCATTCTACGTTTATGAACTATCAAACAGGTAATCCAACTGTCTATCTTCGATCACCTGGATGGCAAGCGTCATTCGATGCGCTGAATAATGCCGTTTCCTGAAGTCATGAACTGCTTTGTATAGGTCATCATCAGCTATATTGTCTCTTAACGTTATCAAGTTGCCCCACGAAAACTTTCTTGCAGGATTACCAGAATTCGCCAAACAACAAAGCAGCTCTTGCAAACGGCTCGCATCTGATGTCACCGCCATCTGGAACTCTGTAAAAATATGGAAGATTGTAGAAGTCTAACAAAAATTATCAAGTCACATGTGCACACATCAGCTTCAAGGTCAAATAAATAAATAAAGTCCATATAAGGGGAGAAAATAGTCAGTACTCCTGCATCATATTCAAGAGGTACCAGGTTCAAAACTTGGCCCAAATATTACTTATTTTGACTGAGGTTTTCTCTGTTCTTCATCTATTCTTCAACAAACGTCTGCACAGCAACTTAAATTAGGCCACGACTGCTTCCTTCTACACCTCTTTTTAATTTATTATCCATCATACCCTATCATGTGATGCTACATAGTCTGGGCTAGTGTGAGCATCATTAAATAAAGCACAACTACTGTAAATAAGAAAGAACTAATTCCTAAGACCGGTCCTTACGTCTGAAAGCCCTCTCACGGTCACAAAGTCATTACCGTATAATAACAAGTACTTTTACAAGCTGGAAACACATTTCCTCCAAACTTTAACACCCCTGAGACTGAAGTCAGGATAATGCGTGTTATCTCGGTCCATACCGAGGTTTACTTTTTGGACGTAACGTCAGCAGGTTACTTGCAGAAATACGCACCGCTGCACATCACGGATCACTCTGATACACTTCAAACACAAGCCACACTTTCAGAATCCATACCACCGAGACAATAAATTTTTAAGCTCTTATCTTCAGTCCTACGAAGTATACAGGATAATAAAATTACACTCTGCAGTTCATCAGAAACAATTATACAACCATCCAGCCTACTATCAAGTTAGAAGATGAACATCACTGAATGTATCGTATGATTGTATTTTCCATACTTAGCTTATATTTTCTGTCTCTAACTTAAAACTCTACCTTCTGTTATTTCATAATCTACTGTAATCTTAGGGAAGGCTAGAACAAGGACAAACATTTCTACTTTTTAGTTGACACTTTAATTTTCTATTTCAACTTGTTTCAACGGAATGCTCTTTGGAAGTCAACAAAAGGCCACTGGTTACGAATCTGTTACGAAAAACACTGCCCTCACCTGAGAAAATGGCTTCCCTTTCACGTGTCATAGCTTCCTTCTTCATCAATGGTGATATGAAGAACTGGGAAAACTTATCGACAGTTTCTCTCAGATATTTTTCCTGGCACTCAAAGTAGAATGTAGTAATCTCACAATCTGTTCCTGCATTGTCTGAACCGCCTCTCCTCTAATTAAATAAAGCGCAACTTTAATAAGCCACAATACAAAAATTACGCATTATTAAAATATACTCTGACAAATTATTTCCATTCATTTGCGAACATACCCAAGTGTAAACAAAACATGTAAACAGAATTTTGTATTTCGCCTGAAAATATTAAATACAGCTGATTCACACACAGACTTAAATGGAACCGTTACCCACGTTTTATAGTGCTATTAATGAAAACGAGATGCAGATGATATATAAAGTTACAAAGGATGATTCAGGACTGATGATGTACACTTACCTTAATGAAGGCATCAAAGTCATTTTCCTTCGGATACTTTTCACTGCCCATGAATACCATGTGTTCTAAGAAGTGAGCCATTCCTTGAACTGACCACGGATCACTGAAACTTCCCACCCCAACACACAATCCAAGAGCCGCCTGCAATTTGTTACAAGTTCTCATACATTTACCAAGCTTCTACAAGGAACGTAAGGAAGTTAGAAAATATATGCACATTAGAACAATCCTGGTACATTCACCGTTGGTCTCTACATTTTTAACTCGTGAATGCTCTTCCTACCTCTAACACAAAATTAAATCAAGATAAGTTAAAAAGTCTCCAAGTTATGAGATGATAAAGCGTGGAAATATATCTTTAATCACCTTGAAGATCATTAAACTTACCCAAAAATAATAATTAAATTAGTAAGCAATGAAGGTTGTGTTCATCACAACAAAAAGCAGTCTAGTCATCCCCATTACAGTCAATTTCCCAAAGTTTAGTTTTAATATCAATCTCACACCCTTCGCTACAATTCAGGATGGAAATTAGTGTCCAATAGTATCGCACGTGCTGAAACCGAGTGTCGTCGTATTTCTCAAAACAGAAACTGAATGTGCGTCAGAATAAACATGAACCTTACATCCTACAACTCTGTCAGAAGCAAGAAAAATGATGTTCTTTTAATAAAAGGAACAGAAAATTTCTGTAGATTTTCAAGTAATATGGTAGATACAATGCACACATTCACATTTTGCAAATACACAGTGAAATGTTATACACATCAAATGAACTCATCTGCAGACATTCTATACGCAGGGCACAAAATCAAAATAAATTCTTCGTGGCCCGGGTGAGACGCTAGAGGAAAATTCCTCTGCTCCTGTCGGGGATTGAACCGGGTTATCCCAGCCTGTAGTCAATCACTACGCTGACTGAGCTACCCCAGTAACTATATAACAGATAAATAAAATAAACATTAAACTTTCGTGGAGGAAATTTTATGGTACAAAATTCCTCACAGTTCTACACTTCTAAAAACTCCCTTACAAATACCTTAAAATTTACATACTAATTTTTCTTCCTTTGTACCAGATTTCTTTGGCCCATCATCATTTTCTATTATGTCATCACATGACTCAGCATCGTCAATCTCGTGATCACTCGAGCTGCTACTGCCACTTTCTTCCTCGGTGGAGTAATCTGAAAGAGCATTGTTACTAGAAGCACACTCAAACAATGTAGTTTGGATTTTGTTTGGTTTTGCCAAATGGATACTCACACACTAGTTTGGTTTTGTTGTGGCTTAATCTTCCGATTTTCAACCTGCAAGAAGTTCTGTACAACGAGTAACCTACATAACTACAGAAGATTTTGTGAGGGTGGGCTTTCAGCTGTTAATTGTTTATACGAAACTTTAACCACATCTGGCTAGGTCTGATGTTACATTTCTTACACGCAAATATTACTCACTCCAGACACACCAATACACTATTATATATTTACTTACTTTATGTATTCTCTGCATTCATTACACTAACATTAAAAACCAAAAAGAGAGTGTTTCCTTCATTTTACAGTCTAGTATAAAATAATATAAAATATTTGTTAAACTATATAATAAGCTCTAAATGTTTAAATCTTTGTAGCACAGCTGCACAAGACTTACTTCTGAAACAGTGTTTTATATCTGCGGTATGTTTTCGGTCATGTACTGCTGTAGAATCAAGCAGTTCAATGTAAAAAATGAAAACTTCAAAAACGGTAAAACACTGTGTGTAAAAATTATGATAATAACAAACATCAAGATTCACAATTTATATTTTCATTTAAATTACCAACTTTTTACACACAGCCTCATGTCTAGTAGCACTAATTGGCATGCTGTTAAATAGTACATAATATCAAATGATAACTACCATCACCACCATCTTCCAAACATTCCTCAGCATCCTGCAGAACATCTGATATAAGTAATGCTGTTAAACCATTTTCAAGACGAATTACTCTGAAATCATAAAATTACACATAAATTTCAAAACATAATCTTACCATAACAATAAATCATGTTAACAGTGAAATGCATCCAGAATTCAAAACAGAAGGTCAAGAAAAAGAACTCTCCAGATTCAAGATGCAAATGACTCATAAAATTAAACCACTGAGCAGACTGCAGTTCAAGAACCTGACAGTAGGCTCAGCTAGTCAAGAAATTCCTCACCTTCTACAAAAGCCAAAGGCTCATTACTGTTTTCACAATAGTCTGCCACCACTCCCTGTGCTGAGCCATAAGAATCCAATTTACACCCCCAAATCCTTTTTCCCAGGGTCCATTTCAATATTACCCTCCTGTCTAGGTCTTCTGCACGGTCCCCTCCTTTCAAGCTTTCCATATGAATCTTTGTATGCAATTCTAAACTCCCCATGCATGTTACATGCCCAGCCCATCGCATTCTCTTACATTTGACATCATACAAAGAGCATCTGTTCAAGGGTACAGATTATGCAGAAGCTCATTTCCAATCTTCACCAGCCTCCTGCCACTTCATCCCTCTGAGATCGAAATAATCTCATCAGTTCTGAAACAACTAAATTTCTTGGCCTACAAATTGACAATTTCTTTAATTTTGGAGACAAAAAAACATGGGATTACTAAATTCCTGGGCTTGTCCAGCAACTGTGGCTAGGGGTTTCTAATGGACCCAACAGAGTAGATGCCCCTTCCCTATCCACCTGAGGTTAATGGCATGAGAAGCGTCGAAACATCTGACACCTTTAGCAAAAAATTATAACTTACTTATATTCCTTCTTGTCATTCTGAGATTTTGTTGGAGAAGTTAAGTACTGCATGTTCCTTTGCACTACCACTTCACCCCCTACACCATCCAATGTTATTCCTCTGTCGCTGTTCGCATTTTTCATTGTACTTTCAAGAACGTCACTGATTCCACCAAAATTAGAGAACGTAAGTTTTGGTATTACATGCAAAAGTAATTTAATTCTTCTGCTCAATACAAGCATCAAACGTACAATTCATCCCCATCCCCTACATAATCATTCTAATTTACTTTTCACAATCCGGTCATCACCGGAAGCATAGTTTATACTAACCAGAGGTCAAATATCTTGCAAATACAACAGGAAGCAAAGATTATATGAAACAGAGACTACACTCCGAGCCCCATATCAAAGAGGATAGGATTATTCGAACCAACAACACGACACATATCGAGCCACAATTACACGAAACGACGACTGGACGATCAAGGTTCGAACTGCGACGGGGGCAATTTTTCAACATTCTTTTTATTTTGAAAAAACATTCAATATTAACTCAGAATAACGGAAATTTAAAAATGTTCCATGTCCGATACAAGTAGCCTACACATGAATCAATCAAATGCAGCTCATTCGGCGCATTGCACCGACTAGTCGATCGGGTTTCGAAACCAGACAGCGGCAATTTTTTTATTTTTATCTTGCAAACTCACTCAGTATTAAATCTGTAAACTTCCTCCTTTTCCGTGCTTTGGGTATCAACAGTTTCTTACGTTTTTGCCCATAATCAGCACTTAGGAGAGCTTCCTGACATTACACACACTATAAAAGCCTTTACATATACTGCATCCACTACCAACACGGAACGATGAGAACGAAATTGCCCTGATGATAAACGCAGTAAGCACCTCTCGAACAGAGGCAGACTTCTACTAGACTAGGCAGTGCAACAACCTAGAAGAAAGCCTTCTTCATTTTCACTGCCGTCAGAACCTCATATACATCTTCTATGATATTACTCAAACGATCAACCTGCCTTTTTAACACGTACTTAACATTTTTGAGTTCTCATTAATTAAATTTTATAAAAACATACCATAAAAATGGTTATGGGTTCCAATGCGGTTACATCTGAACAAACTTTAATATTATAAGCTTCCATGTGAATGAAATTATCTGCCATCCTAATACCAGTCACCAGTTCTACTTAAAAACAGTATGGTAACTATTTACATCATGGAATCACCTTGGTCATTAAAGTGTTAATCTGTGTGTATTCTGAAATCTTCAATGAATGTAGAATGATAAAATCTGGAAAACACTGGTCAAATTCAAGATGTTCTTTCTTTTATTTACATTACTGGTTTAAGCGATGGGCCAGGCAAGACAAGATATATGTTACTCAGGTGAGATTCACAATGAAGTTTGATTGTGCACTCTGTGAAGGCTGTATGTTTGTAACGCTCGTCCTACTGCCTGTGTTATCACTCTCACCTACACCGGCTCCTGAAAGCAAAAGTTGTATAGCTCCTTGCAGAGACAGCAGTTCCTCTGTCAACTGTTCCTCTTCTCTAAGCCGCCGTGCAAGACGATGGAACAATACGCCGATCTCCATATCAAGGTCAACCACATCATATGTATCTGCAAACAGTCAAAACATCAACATCACAAAGGACTTGTTGCCTGTGGGATAACCTCCCAGAGCCAGCTCCGATAATGTGGTGGTTTCATTTTGCAATATTGAATGATGGATCAAGTCCAGACAAACAGCAATATTGAACGCGGCCATCTTCTGGGTAGTAGCACCCCGTAATCTGGTGCTACAACCAAGAAGACAGACCTCTTCAGAATCGCTGCCATGAAAACCTCAAGTCCTACTTAGCAATACTGAAGATTTCATATGTCTTTTTTTATCAGTTCCCTGGGGTAGCCACTTACCCATACACACATTACTCACCAAGCAACATGTTGGCAACGTCAATAAGGGTTCGAGTAAAGCGGTAGTCACCAATGTACTTGATAAGGAATCTCAGGATAGCAGACAGAGATTTGCCTTCTCTTCCAGCTAAAGCAGCCTTTAAGCCTTTCCGCCTGGAAAAGAAAAAAAAAAAGACGTAGGATTTGAAGTTTGCACAGCGCGAAGGTGGCCGTCTTCTGGGTTGTAGCACCAATAATTCTGGTAGAAGTTTGCGTGGTTCCCAACTCACATGCAGACATCCTATTTTGTGTCTCAAAGAATGTGATCGGGGAAGGACAGAGTATGAAAGCAATGAAACATTTACTTTCTGAAATTTGACTCACACCAACACTCGTCTTATCATCGTTACTGATATCAAAGAAAAAGATACAACACATTCATACATAAACAGATGCCTGCAGGCTACTTTTCAGTAAGAACAATGTAAATTTTTCATACACACTTACAGAGAAATCAACTCCAGACAACAGAATTCTCCTTAAGAAGCTAATAGTCACTGAGCAGAAAACAGAAGAGAAAAAATAACAACTGGTCCCCATACAATACTGAATAAGGCACACAGCATTTGAACCTGCTCTTACAAAGTAAAAGACTGCAGCAAAGTTAGGTTAGGTTAGAAATAAAATATATATTTTTGTAGCTTAAGAGAAAAAATACATTCAAACAAACTTCTGAACCAAGGCCAAGAGTATTGATTTTGACCAAGAAAAGTAATGAGCTAGCTTAACCTCTTAAATTCTTTCCAAAAAAATTAAATAAAGAAGATTAAGTATTATATAAAAGTAAAAACTTTTTGGCCAGAATAAAAAAAGAAAGGCACGCCCATGTTATAAAAGTACAGTGTTGTCTGACTGAATACTCTGGAGCAACAGTCAGCTGTTTCAATAATACCGATCGACAGAATAAATTTAAGACAAATGCTAGGTTTCTGAAACAACATCTCATATTTTGAAGGCGCTTCTCCAAAAAAGTGAATTAAGAACCACATCATTACCTGATGAGTTCCTGGAATAAACATACAGTGACTGCAGGCTTCTTGTTTGTGATGTACGGCATCAGGACACAGTCCACTGCTTTCGAGTACTGGAACCTGCGTAAACAAGCGTCATGTTTCGACATTAACTCCTTCTTCTCCTCAGGGATTATCGTATCTACAGATGTAGCTTGGAAACCATCAGGTGCGTAGCGGTAAGAAACTTTTTTCCGTTCCTGCTTGGTGGGTCTTATTTCATCTTCACGTCGGGAGATAGACACTAAGCCGTCAACCATTCCAGCAACCACCGTCTCATCCCCAGGCTATGAAAAGACACAAAGTTCAACCAATCAAGTCACTTGCATTAGTTATAACAAACATGTTACCTAACAGACCAGAACTCAACAGGAGAAAGTTATTTTCCTTTTCCACAGAAATTATCTTAAAGATCTGTCACCAATACAATATTGTTGACCCTAATACAGTAAACGGCACCAACATAGGTTTCTCCTCAGAAATTCATGTTTCTACCATGACGGTCACGACTGAACTAATCCAACAGATTATCAAGAGCTAATAATGGGCCACATACGTCGTACCTTAACACCGTAAGTCTCACGAGATACAGAGAGATGGCTGAAGACTACACACAACACAATTCACTTCTCTTTTATTGATTGGAACATCTGAAATGAATACTCACACTGACATCAAGACTGAGCACCGCATTGGGATAATCCAGGGTGTGAGCCACCTGATACGTAGACACGTCATATATTTTCACATGTCTGTCCAATGAGCCAGACAGGAATCGTTTGTTTCCCGAGCCCAAGCACAGACAAGTGACAGTTTTGTGATGTTGGCACAACTTTGCCAACAGGCGCCCCCCAGTGAAGGCATCCCACACTCGAATTTCTGTGCCACCTGTTGAGATATTACGATTAGATGCACTCAGTCATTTCAGCTTCTCTGGAGCATGCAGCAGGGGAAATTGAAACATGTGAACGAGTTAAAAACCACTTTCTCTGGCTACATACAAATACATTGTTATGTGTACTTTATTTAACAATGCTTGTTCAGTAGCTCAGGCTATATAGCATTGAATGAGAGGATGACAGTGAATAATGAATTGGGAAGGATGTGGAAGGAAGCAATCGTGGCCTAATTTAAGGTATTATTCTGGCATTTGCCTGGAAGAACTGAACAATCGCAATGTTCGGTACATACATACAAATACACCTATCCCTCAATTTGCAGGTACACTTGAACTCAGATGTCTATACCTTAACTACAGCTGGTGCTGCATGATGTAAATGTTTGATTTAACACTTGAACAGTGCTTTAAAGAGTTAAACAGGTAACAACTATCATACAAAAGCAATATTTCTCTTATGCTCAGGACTGCAACACATGCGGGAAATACACTGGGTGATATTTCTGGGAGTTGGAAACCAAACAGAATTCTTTACATTGAAATTAATAGGTACTTCATTTTTCATTTATGAAGTTTCACCTTACAAACAGTTTTCATAACACAAATTGTGTTTGTAAATTTAGGGGTGAGTGCAATAACAAATATTACTGTGTTACTGTCAAACCTTCCTGCTGCTGCATAAAGAATTCTGTTCAGTAGTAGATAAAGCCATGTACAGTCTGTAACAATTAGATTTTCCTAGAATAAATTGTATTTCAATAGTACACATAGCACACAACCGTGGTAAGAAAATATTTGGTCTGTAAAGATATGCTCTGCTACATAAAAATTTGTCGAATATACAATATGGACTTCAAGTATAAACACGTGATCACGTACCTGCTGACAAGAAAATACCACCAGTTGGGAGGAAGATAACACTTTCAACCGCAGCACCGTGATCGACACTGAAAACTGAAGCCTTAACGCGGGTATCATACATTCGGACAATATTGTCATAGCCACCAGACAGAATAATGTCTGTGGATACCGGAGAAACCGCACCAGCACGGACATAATCCTGCATAAGAAATTACAAAGATGCAAGTTCATCAAAACATAAAGGATTTATGTGAGATTTGACATTCTCATAGCAGTAAAGATGAAAAATGTGATCTCCTGGATTTTGAAGGCATGTAGTCTTGCAGAGATTACCAACATTTGAAACAATGGTAACCACCGAGAGGGCCACAATAAACATAGGGATTTAAAATGCAAAAATTACGCATACAACTCCACTTAAAACACACACAATATATACAAAATTAAGGTCACACCTAAGCCCAATGAATCACTTAATTCTATCATAAACAGAAAATAAATTCTTAAAGGAAAAATTGGTTCTAATTCGTTGTATATATTTTCAGAGTGAGAAAACAAAAGACACACTAGTTTTACCTTTGTCATACAGGAAAAACTTATGTAAAACCCATAAATTCTACTCACCGAGTGTTCAGAGAAACTTGTAACTTTGCTCTCACTTGGGATGTCCCACAAGCACACGGATTTATCGTCTGAGAAACTTGCTATGTGGGTTTTGTCTAGTGTGAAGAAACATCGATGAACAGCACTGAAACAAAGGCTCGACATAACCACAGACAAACTGCTTGGAGCACAAGCAACCATTACAGGCAAGTTTCAGCCACATGTTGTCGAAAGCAATTTTCTCAGGTTTCGGTACTGGACAGCAGTTTAAGTCTCATTATTTTGTACATGGTCAAATACAGTTTCACCATAAAATTCCTACAAATGTGACATCAATGACACACATATTTTAATCTCACACTAAAATGTGCAAAAAATTTGCATACCCACACCCTGCTGTGACATGTCTGTTTCAAAATTAAGTTTTAAATAAAGACCAATTTTCAATACCTTATACTTTCAACAAGACGGTCTTACCGAACTCCAGAGAAATTCTGTGGCCATCCAGATCATCTGATCTAAACTGCTCCAAAGGTAACTTCAAGCACAGGATAAGCAACAAACAACTGGCAAGAAATAAGTCCCATGCATTGTGAAAATTCATGGGACTTTCAAGCCTATTTACAGTAAAACATAACCAAAAAACATGGTGTGGCAGTGTTTTAAGGTGCAGTGAAAAATGCAACAATTGTTAAATCTTAAAGTCTGAATAAACAAGATTACAGCTGTGATGTTTGAACCAGACTTTAGAACTTTCTATTCTAGGGTACCTTGCGTGGCCCTTGAATACACGAAGAAGGGACTTGGAGCTGGCATCAAACAGTTTTACTTGGCACTCATCCCCACCCACACAGATGAGATTTCCATCTGATCTGAAACTTCCTCCATATGCAGTTTCTCGGAAACGGCTTAAATTCTTCTGAACCACTTTCGTAATTGGATTGTACACTTGGACCTGGCAAATATGTAAGCATTCAGAACCTACTTCAAAGGGTTAGAATAAGACATGGGTTCTAATGAAAATCCACAAATATAATTTCACATAATCAGTATTATCACACTTCAATGTTAGCAAACAGTACAGCCCATCCATAATTCTACACAACATGGAAATAATATTTCTAAGTTTTGGCCCCATAAACACCAACCAGTACCTTCCCTGATCAAAGAATCATGAAATTCTGATATAATATTTTTTTTAATTGTATAATTTTATTTATCATTCTTTCCATTGTCAGATTTACTTGGCCTATTACAGGCATTGCAAAACGGGATTTTTCCATCTTTTCGACATGTTCCTGAGCATCTTATTCCTTTGCCCTGACATTTTATAAATTTTGGTGATACTATAAGGACTACTCATGCATTCCCCATCTATCACCAGCAACCTTCTGATGGTACAATTCCTTTAAACTGACGAGGCTCCGGTAAATAAATCACATCAGAATAGTACTTAGATTTGTGGCCGATTAAATTCTAGCACACAAGGTTTGTACAGAGGCTCAAAAGTAGCAACACAACTAGTTTGCAGCTTATTGGCTAACAGTGACGTACTTACTCGCACAGAACACGTAACAGCAAAATAATGTGGCTCAACTGGAGAGAAATCAATGTAGTCAATTGGTCCAAATTCTTTAACTAGTGCAGGTACCTGAAACGCATTCAAAGAAAGAATCGCAACATTATGTTATTACAATACATTTCATTCAGGAAGGCATGAAACTACGATCACAACCAGTAGCTACTTTCAGGCATGTATATATTATTTGGACTAATCTTGATGCATGCACTACACATTTAATCCTGCAGAATTATAAGACACTAGAATGAACAGTTCTTACAAGGCAATGTTTTCAATTTCTTCAAGAAAAATTATATGATAATAGATGCAATACACCCAGAACTCTAACATTTTCCAACATGATTTTAACTTTTAATGCTGGTTGGAAGAATACTGAATAATCTGATCCCTGCATGGTAAGCAATTTTCTGGTAAGTTCTTAGTTTGGCATTCAGCCCATGGAGGACATATTTATGCTTTGTGTCATAATGCATGTCAGAATTTGTTTGGAATTTATCCCTGTTGTCCACATTGAATGACAGTAAGTCCTAGTGTCAGGGATCTAATGATGAATGCAGCAATGACCTACAACGCTGGTGTAGAGTTCTGTCAGACTACACAGCGCTGCAGCTCAGATGACAGCCACCTTCATCCTTAGATCACACAAATAGTAATAATTTATTTATATATTTATAGTTTATTTAACGACGCTTTTTAGTTCAGACGATGCAGCGTCTAATGAGAATAATAGTGAATAATAAACTGGAAAGTATGTGGAAGGAATCGGTCGTACCCTAATTTAACTTGGCATTTGACTGGAGGGACTAAGAAAAACCACAAAAATCCCCGTCAGGATAGCCGGTCTCCGGGCCGAGATTTGAACCCAGGGACTTCCGAATACGAATCTGCGAGCTGATCTGACTAGATAAAACAACACTTCATACACCATTCTGCGTGAATTAATCCACGTGGGAAAGAAAATTATAGTTTGATTTTTTCAAATGCCAAAACTTAATTCACTGCAAAACACTGATAACCATGGACTGTCCATACAAATTAAAACATTATTAAAAGGTACACACCCCAAGCTTTTTCCAGTATAAGGTATCTGGTGTGATATTTGGCCCAGTTTTTGTATATATTTTCAAGTTCGTTTTCTTGAAAGACGCCATTGTGATATATAACAATCGACTACCGCAGTTATCGGAAAAGGTGAAGAATATTATATTCCACGTGCTCCGTACCGACTTCCATGGAAAATCATAAGAAAGATGTAATAATGGCAGAAATCCCTGTCACTAATTAGATAACCATACACGGTGTTATAATCCAGAAAACGTTAATCGATTTCACCTCTGACAGAACCTAAGATTTCAAACCATTTTTTTAACACTTCTGTAATTGAAATTTTAGGTTCTGGCTGCACGGCACAATATACTAGAAGGCTGCCATATTAACTTCAGTAATGTTTGCTGATTTTTCGTAGCTATTCTCCCTTCTTCAACGCTGAAGTTTTACTCCCACGTATTATGTTCGTGTATGACCTCCTAATTACACAGCACAAAAGTCGCGTTACTGTTAGTGGTTTATCTTCAAGTAGTCATTGACATTTCTGAGTTCTTTGAACTGTTTTTCGTTCTGAAAATAGTGCGGACCGATTCACCCTACTTATCAGCTGTTTTAGGGAAATAAATATTCTCATGTTCTTGCAGTATGTTTAAGAAAGTGAATGTTTTCGATGATGTTCTACAGAGAAAACGCAAAATTCTGTGTCGTGTGCAATAAATGGTATATTCATAGATGAAGCGAGACATGCTAAGTAATGAATCCCAGGATCAGTCTTTTAAGAACTGTGCACTTTAATTAAGGTGCTGGTTAGGTCGTTACTGGTCAGTCCTTAACCTGTGTTTAGTCGTGTTAGCATCTTTAAGAATTAATACTGTTACAAAATTAATGCGATGGCACACACTCGTATAATTCCAGTTTATGGACGTCGTCCACCTTGTGCTACGTTATGTAGAATTGAGGAGTTACATATGCGGTTACGTGCTATGCGATTGGAACGCTCTCGTAAGCCTGACAAACCCGAGGACTTTGTATGTTATGAGGATTCTGACGATGAAGAAGAGAGTGCAGTTGCTGAGAAGCAGGTTCTTAATACGTCATATAATTTTGTTGACTTTGTGCGAGGACGAGAAATGGGCGGCAGAGAACCCAAATGGGTTGGCCCAGAATACGGCTCACGACATATTCTAACACACGAAATGTTTAAAGAGTACTCAGTTTCCCTTAGTAATATGAACAAAGTGTTTTGTTCTCAGTGGTTAAGTGACAGACAAGTTGTATTTGGAACGAAGTGTAATAAGGTAAGGTTAGAACTTCACACGAAATTGCTGGAAGCAGAGGCAGGTTTCATTAATAAAGTTGGTTCATCTTGAAACTGGGACTTCATCATTTACACTTAGTGTCATGTTGGTTGAAGTTATTTTCGAAGTGTGTGTCCATGAAACTATACTGCATATGATGCCATTTTACATGCAAAATGTAATTAATGTTTGATACTGTTGGACAACAGAATAATTGTTATTCATTACCATGGTAATGTATGAAATTGTTCACAGCTGATGGTGTATGATGTAGTCACACAAAAATTAGACCAGATTCCTTCATTACAAGGCAGAAGAGACTCCATTACATTGCCACAAGATCAGCAATGTGGGATCCATTCAGTGCAAATTAATCCCTCAAAGACACTTTTAGCAACAGGGGCAAGGAACTCCAGTGAGATTGCAGTGTACCGGCTGCCAACTCTGGACCCAGTGTGTGTCGGAGAAGTAAGCATATTTTTTATTTGTTCCATAGTCAAAGCTTTCTACCTTTTTCATATCGGTACCAGTGTTGCACATCCTAATTTAATAAACTTTATTTTTACACCCGTCATTCACAACTGAAGAGTTATCTGATTACAGGCAGTCTGCATAAAAAGATTACTGAAAAACATTAGTTGGAGAGAATGGATGTTTGTTTCTACATTACGTTATTTCACACACATGAGGATGCATCATGTAATATTCCTATAGTTATCACTTCATGAGAATTGAGAGTTGATGTTATGTATTGAGTGGGTGAGGAAAATGGCTAAAAATAAACACTGGGATAGCCTGCAGCGCAAGATGGGAATGCTGGCACAAACATGAACTGTGATACTATATTTGTCGACATACTGACATTTGATTCTGGAACAGTTTATAAAAGAAACTTTAACTGTCTGACAGTTTGTGGTAGTGCCAAAGCAACAGATACTGTGATCTCTCGTAATTCTGATATTTTACCCTTTCGTGCTGTAACTGGTTGAAAATCGTTGTAGTTTACTCATCAGCAATGCCCACAAAGGAATAGAAAAGTTTAGTATTTGGGCTGTGTGAGGAATTAAATTTGGTATGCACCATAGCCTTGCAGGGATCTTCAATTTCATTCATGGTGTAGCCCAGTGATTAGAATTATTAGGAATATCATTCTTATCATTGTTCCTATTATGTAAAAAAGAAAGTAAGTCCCACTATACATCATGTGAGCACTTGCGGGGGGAGGCAGTATAGCTCCTACTCATTCTGAACAGCAACAATAATATAATGGTGAGTGGTCAGCGTCATGCCCCAGCTGCACTTTATACCCAGGAAAGGACCCTGATACTGATTAGATAGGAGGCTTGGTGGACCCCAGGGCCTGTCTGGATGCAGAGGCTAGAGGAAACATCCTCTGCCCCCGCCAGGGATCAAACCCTGGTATTCCAGTCCATAGTCAGTCTCTATACTGACTGAGCTACCCTGGCTCCTATTATGTAAAATGTCAAAATTAATGTCATTAAGTTGGGTATAAATGGAAGATTGCTATTTGATAAAGAAGTCATAAATAATTGCACTTGGTGTGATCTGTAACTCAAAACCTGTCTAATGTTGATACATTCATTTTTGCTGTACAATCTTACATGTACAGGAACGTTACAAAATTGTTATTTCAGCGCAAGATACCGCGAATTTGTGTGTTCTTTCAGCGTACTGCAACGTTTTCTGCAGACATAAAACACAATTGCAAGAAGTCATAAACTGTAGCTTTTGTAATTAAATTTAAAATTTCTTTGGGCAAGATTATACAAAACCTTACCCAAATTCTGACAAATATATGAAACTTTTGGGGTTTTATAGGGGGCACATCGAGACTGGGTGTTTGACATGTGCTGGCTGGATGACCAGTTCTTGGTCTCTGGTTCTCGTGACACCCGGATGGCGCTGTGGCGAGTCCAGGAGGATGACATGACTACAAAGCAGGAAGTGCCCACGTATAATCATTTACGCGCACTGGCTGTCAAGGAATGCAAGTCAGCGCAGAAGGTCCGTGCAGTTGCTTTCAACAAGAGTTTCCAAGAGATAGCAGCACTTTCACTGAATGGTTATATTCACATTTGGAATGCTGAGACATTTAAGCAGGTTTGTTACTCATAACTGAATTCTGCTACTCAAGATTTCTAATTTGTTTTAAAACAGATGTGAATCTTGTAATGATGTACAGTACTTCAAACACCTTGTACTGAGAATGTCCCTTTGTGATGGTTCGTCAAGAAAAGTTCTTGAAACACTCGATTGTCTGCGTGTGGATTCTCCGCGTGTGACTACACAGCTTTTTTTCTTTTTTCACATTTTGGCAGACACGTATGAACTACACTTCTGACCTCTTTCCGCACCATACAGTCCACTTTGGGGGGGGGGGTTCTGGGAGCATGGAACATCAGTCTGGTTCCATGTGTGCACAGAGAGCCATGTTTTTTCATGAAGCTTTGGGATCAAAAAGTGAGTTAAGTGGGTCTGTTGTATGTCTGACCAGGTTCAAGCAACGATGTGGTATTAATAAAATCTTTCCGGGCTATCAGGCATGTCGGTCGGTTAAAAAATGATGTCAGAATCACGACATAATTCTGATGATGAGGATGGTGTTGGTCCCTGAAATGTCAATTTTTAACCAACTGGCACAGCTGATAGCCTGGAAAGATAATTTGTGAGTCTGTGAACGCACAAAATAAAATATTATGGATTATCTGTGTTTTTCTATTATCCGTGCATCTTCATCCCTTCGTTAGCCAAAAAAAAACTAGGAGCTTACTGCAGTAACAATATAACTAACAAACAAATCCCACATAGTAGTCCTTCAGAAGCTAGCAGTATGCTTAGCTAGTCAATAAATCCCACTTCCTGCTCAATA